GGCCTCCACAAAGTCGTCGGCCGCTTCTGCCGCACTTCTGAGCCACTCGTGCGCCTTCGGATGCACCTGGTGAGGACGAAGACTCCGAACCATAACTTCACAGATTTACACTAAACCCTAAACCCGAAACCCCTACACCCCTAAGCCCTAAGCCCTGGTTCCTACACCCTAAACCCTAAACCCCTAAACCCTAAGCCCTAGACCCTAAGCCCTAAATCCAAAGCCCCTAAACCCTAAGCCCTAGACCCTAAGCCCCTAAATCCCTAAGCCCTAGACCCTACACCCTTAACCCTAAACCCCTAAACCCTAAGCCCTAGACCCTAAGCCCTAAATCCCTAAACCCTAGACCCTACACCCTAAACCCTAAACCCCTAAATCCTAAGCCAGCATCAGACGAAAGTCAAAACCTCGGCCCGAAGGGTTTAGGGTTTAGGGTTTAGGGTTTAGGGTTTAGGGTTTAGGGCCTCGGGAGGTCGGTTTTCTGTTTTCTGTGTGCAGAGACATCCAGAGATTGGTGCGCCGCTTTAAGGGTTTAGGGTTTAGGGTTTTAGGGTTAGGGTTTAGGGGTTTAGGGTGGCTTTAGGGTTTAGGGTTTAAGGTTTAGGGGTTTAGGGGTTTAGGGGTTTAGGGGTTTAGGGTTTAGGGATTCCTCGTCGACTGTCTTGCCCGGACGATCAAGGGCAAGAAAGCCCCGAAGTTCAACGCTTTCATTGCCACTGGATTGGCCAGGGTTTAGGGTTTAGGGTTTAGGTTGGGACGAAGTCTGGGAATCTCGCGCCGAGGACAGCGCTGCTATCGTGGGAGAGCTTGCTCGCCAAACCTAGTGGCCTTAATGATTGCCGAAGTTGTTTTGGTGGCTCCTTATTATCACTGTAGCTATAGTATAAAGGGCCCCAAAACCCTATTCCAGTGATTAAGGCCCCCATATTACTAGACTGGAATCGACCACATGCAAGGAACTGACTGCACAAGGCGGTTCCTACGGACGCAAAGGACACCAACGCACCAGAGCAAGCCGTAAGCCTTATGCCCTATACCCTAAGACGTAAAGCTAAACCGTACTAAACCCTATTTAATGTACACCTCTGGCAAAACAGGCCCCCTACACTTATGGGGCTTCTTCTAGGAATCAGAAGACTACTGCTCTTGATGAGAAAAACGTTCGGTTCACAGAGGTCTACGTCAAGCCCTGAACCCACATACATACATGGGCACCCCTTAGCATACACTGTACAGGTACGGTTGATTATATGAATCCTGCATTACCTAAAATAAGGAATATACGCCACAATCCCCATAGTTTAGGGCCCCTAAACCCTAAAGCCTAAACCCCTGCACCGCTAAACCCCCTCAAGCCCTAAACCTTAAACCTGTAAACCCCTAAACGCCCTAAACCTCTAAACCCTAGACCCCTAAACCCTAAGCCCTAATGGAGCCTTCGGGAAAGTTCTGGAGTCTTACACACTCAGCCCCCTGAGGCGAGCTGTACTTTTAAACCCAGAGAACCCAATACCCCTTAGTTAAGGAATATACCTTAAATCGTAATATTAAGGCCCCTATAATTTGAGGTATATTCCTTAATTAAGGTGTATTGGGTTCTCTGGGAAGGGGTCCATCAGTGTATAAGGCTCCTTTAAAGCGGATCTATAAGGGTTTAGGGTTTAGGTCTTAGGGTTTATGGTTCAGTGTATAAGGGTTCCTTGAAAGGGATCCAAAAGGGTTCTATAAAGGGGTTTAGGATTTAGGGGTGCAGGAGTTTAGGTTTAAGGGGTGTCTAGGGCTGAGGGTTCAAAAACCCTTGATACAGTTTACAAAGGTCGAAATAGTTAGCAGTGATGTGCCCTTTTCGCCCCTATATAGTTTTTACATATTGCTGCTGTAACATACCCCCCCCACCACCCAAAGTTCTATTCGATTTATTCCGGCCCCTATGCCAGACCTGCTCCCAAGGTTCCCTGATGACGAATCTGTCGTCTTCATGGACTTCACAGGCCTGCGTGAAGTTTGTCATCTGGAACGTTTTATATGCCAGAACACTCCAAGTAGATAATATTTGGGCCCTAACAAATTTGTCACTGTTAGTTTTTTGCGTTACTTATTGCAAGTAGATTGGAATCTACCCCTCAAGCCCTGTTCTAATTATGATGGTATGGCTTGGAAGTTGCAGGGGTTCCGTGACTCAAGGGCCCTCTGCTTGGATCTTTCCTGAGTCTAGGCCGCAGCGGGCAAAATACGGCTTTAGGGTTTAGGGTTTAGGACTTTTTTAGGAGTTCCTGATTATGGAACCTTGATATAAGTCCTTAGAAATGTAGGTTCCTTGGGGTCCAGACAGGCATCGACTTCAGTGTTCGTTTCTTTCGGCTTGTTGAAGGTCTGACTTTTGCAGGTAGGGTTCAGGTACCTAAACCCTAAACCCTAAACCCTAATCCCTAAACCCTAAACCCTAAACCCTAAACCCTAAACCCTGAACCCTAAACCCTATAGCTGTCGAAACCGACGTCCAGTGCCGGGAGAGCTTGGGGTT